GCTTCCCTGGTGGCGCAGTGGTTGAGAGTCCGCCTGCCGTTGCAGGGGACACGGACGGGTTCGTGCCCCGGTCCGGGAAGATCCCACATGTCGTGGAGCGACTGGGCCCGTGAGCCATGGCCACTGAGCCTGCGCGTCTGGAGCCTGTGCTCCGCAACGGGAGAGGCCACAGCAGTGAGAGGCCCGCGGAACGCAAAAAAACCCAAATTACAAAAAATAAAACAAAACAAAAAAAACCTTACTGGCTATAAGGTGCAAACAGAAGTGAAAACTTAGCCCTTTGGAACATAAAGGCTATATTCCCTATAAGATAATCAACATGTCAGAATTTTATTATTTATGAAGATTTGAGGATGGGGGCAGGAGTGTAGGGGGAAGAGGGCCATTAGGGATCAAGCCAGCAGCAGGCAGACAGGAATTCTGGATTCTTTGCTAAGTGCATCCAGAAAAAGTTTCTACTGCATTCAAGAGCCCAGAAGCCCCTCTGCTTCAAGACCCTCCATCAAAAATTTCTTTTTATGTACTAATTCCACTAAAACTGTGGTCCTAGATAACCAGAGCTCAGACTCACAAAGCCATTTTCAGTTATTTACCTGGAGATGTTGTTTCCGTCCTCTGAGAATTCACAATTTATACTGATGCTATGTTGGGTAGAGAGGTAACTGGTGACTTTTTTTCTCCTCTTTCTATATTAAACTCTGTTCATGTCACTTTTATGATGAAATTTTGATTTATAAAGATTTTAAAACATAAAAGTAGTGTTATAAAAAAAAAGTTTCATCTCCACCAATTCCCAGCTCTGAAACCTTGAACAGCCCACCTTACCTCCCTAAGTTTCCTTATCTGTATGATGGGGATAGTCAAGCCTGCTGTTACTACTTTATAAGGTAGTTATAAAAATCAGGTATGCTCATGGAAATAAAAATATAAGCACTTATATATACTGAGGCATTAGTATAATTATCTAAGAGTATCAAACTGCCCAACCTTGCCTGATAAGAACCACATACACACTCATACTTTATGACCTGGCAAAGTTTCTCCACACTTTGCACATAATCTAATGACCCAATATTAACCCTATCTGCTTCAAGAGAACTGTTGCTTAAAGGCAGAGAGGGGATTTTTATGATTTGTGTTAAAATGAATAGAAGTCTAAAAAACCAACATATAATAATGCTGTACTTCTAAGTTCCTTGCCTCTTTTACTTGATAAATCAATTATTTAAAATAAGTGCACACCCAATCGAATAGTTAACACTTTTAAACTGTCCAAATGCATCTCTAATACGAACTTATTTTAAATCCACTTCTATGTAATAAAGGCTCAATAGTAATAGGTAAGCATTATGAATGTTGGTGGAGCTACCTAGGAAATTCACAGATGAGTTAGAAAGTTAACAGCTGTGAGGGAGGAATAGTTCCTCCCACGCCTCAGATTTTCCTGAGGCTGGCCTTGGCTGGATAACAGTCCTCTGCATAATACTCGCACCTCTGCATTACTCTTCTAGGAGAGGAGTTACCTGATTGGGCATAAGTGACCTGGCCCCCTTCCTATAGGGAAAGTGGGTACAGTATAATCTATACTCTCCGCAGTGCGGTGAGCTAGGAAGGGCAGGCTCTACCCCACAACCCTCACCATCCTCACCAGGGAAGCTTGCAGTATAGCACCTGAAGTTCATTCAGAGGTGTGTCAAAAGCCCATTTCTCCAGGCATCTAATCTACATCCTCCAATACAGTCTTTAGGAATAATAAAGCTGGGAGTCTGATCTCTATTGATCTGACCCCTTTACCGATAACTCAGCTGGCTCTACACTTAGGCCAAAAAAGAGACAGTTCTTTCAAAGAAAAAACTAAACACTTAAGATTTATAGGCACAGAATGGTAGCAGGGTCAGGGTTTACTCTTCAGAGACCTTTACCAACGTGTGTGCGAGTACTCAGGGTTCTTTCCCAGGCAAATCCAAGATCGCATCTGTACTCCAGAACTCCAGGCCATCATGCGTCAGGCCTATTGATTCAGCTGTGTGGAGCCCAGAGGTTCAAGGAGCATGCACGGCTGGACAACCAGACTACAGAGACCCCAGTACAACTCATTAACTACCCAAGGGAGAGAAGGGACCCGATAAGTTCACAATCTATGGCAGGCTGTGTAGACTTTTAGGCAAGTCACTTAATCTCTCCAACTCTGTTCCCTCATCTAGAAAAGGGATATGAGGATATGACAATATCTACTCAACAGGTATTAACATTGCTGTTAGGAAGAACAACAAAGAAGATATAAGGTCAAAATGCTCCTAAATAATGCATTTAAAGGAATAGGGAAATACTATTATTTTTTAAAAGAATAAACGTGCCTAGTCTTTCCTCCTGAATCACAGCAGTGAGAGGCCCGCGTACCGCAAAAAAAAAAAAAAAAAAAAAAAAAAAAAAAACCATAAAAGAAACCATGGTTGTCAAAGCACTTTGTAAGACTAAACAGATGAGAGGGATTACAACCAGGGAAGCAAATGGGTTCATCATTAAAGATGCTCTGGCCAGGAAATGAGGAGATGGAGCATCAAGATGCAAATCAACCACTGCCTGGCTGAGGCACCTTGGGTATGTCACCTACCATCCAGGATTGCTCGTTTGTGAAATAGTGACTAAACTCCCTCCTTGATTGCCTCACAGCTTTGTGTGGAGGAGCAATACACCGGGTGTCAGTGGAGCAGTCACATGGGGAGTATACATTAGCTAGGGTGCCATTATGCTCTATGCGGTCTAACTACCCACAGACTTGCTCAAGTTTGAAGCATTGCTCAACTTTGCAGATGTCCTTCTGGGCTGCTTCACAATAAATTTACAAGTGCTTGTTTTTACAAATGCATTAGAAGACCTGTTGATTGAAAGGCAGAGTAGGAATTTTTATTGTTTCATTTTTTTAAAGAAAAATCTTAATTTTAATAATTTAATTTTAAAACGAAACCTACAAATGCTAATACTATACTTCTTACGTTTCCCTCCTGTTTCTTCCTTTATATGTCTTTAAACTTTTCCTCTCTGCCCTCTTTCCAACTCAGAAAACACACTAATCTCACTCATTTCTACTTAAAGTAAAACCAGCCAAAAAGATAACTTTCGATTTTGTTTTCTCTCCTGAACTTCTCCCACTCCTTCTCTTCATAGGCAAAAGCTTCAAAAAAGAGTTGACTCTCACTTTCCCTA